CCTCTAAAGCAGCCCCCACTTCATGCTCAGTCACATCACCTGGCTGTAATTTCCTGTGCTCATTAGGAGGGGGTATGTCTTCTTGTTTGCATATTTAGGTGAATGTGCACTGACCACCAGGGGGCAGCTCCTGAGTGTCTGCCCCCTGGTGGTCAGTGAACATCATAGTATACTCTCAATAAATATTTGTGGAAATGTTGAGCGAATGAATCAAGCAAGGAAAGCAGGGGGAGCAGGGGAGGGCACAGGGAGGGGTCTGGCGCACATGCCAGTCCCCGCATGCATTCCAAATAGGCTTCACTCTGCCCAGATCCTGTTACACTCACGTTTTCACAACCACACCCTCCCTTCACCCACCTGCACACTTTGTCATAAAAATGTCATCAGAATGTAATGAGATGACTTCATAGCCCTCTGCAAAGAGAGGCCCCACCAAGGATTTTGGCCACTCTGACCCCCAAATCTAACTGTGTAGAAATGCAGAAACTCCTTCTTCCTGCCCTCGCCCAGGCTTCGCACTGAGTGGGGGCGGGCAGCAGGAGGACACTGAGGCCGGTGCCCCAAGCGCTCAGCCGGCAAACTAGCTCTGGCGTTCTCTCACCAGCCACTGCTTCTCACTTGATATTTGAATCTCTTCTCAGAGAGTCATAGTCAACTACCGGGCTTATCACAAGCCAGACACTGGCCTAGAAACGCCATAGCACGGCATTGAACCCCCCAGTAGCTTCAGGAGACGGGTCCAATAATCATTTTTACCATCAAAACAAATGAGACCCCAACCCCCACTCCTCCTCTTCCTACCCCTAGATCAACACACACTGTGTGTGGAGTCAGCCCTCATGTCCCAGCTCCATCCACTCACCCGACTCTTGCAAACAGCCACCCCTCACCTGTCCCTTGGGGCTAGGGGTGTGCCCACCACAGGCACAGTCCCCAGATTCAGGGGAGAGGCCAGTGCAGGCCTGGAAGCCACTCAGGGCTGTTCAGCCCAGGTACCCAGGTCTCGAAGAGGGCCACAGGGTCGAGATGGACACATCCCCCTGGCCTCATGGACTCTTTGCCCCGTGAGGATGGGCATGGCTGGAGGAGGGCCAAAATGGCCTCCCTGAAGGGCAGGGCCCAGAACAGGGGCTCCCCTTTGCTGGGTGGAAGGGCCGTATGCCCTAAGAACTCGGCTCTGTGGCCCGGCGTGGGGGAGAGGCAGGCAGGCTCCTGGTCATGCCCAAGTACATTCCATTTTTCACGGCTCCACAGGCGGCAAAGTGTAGCGATCCTGCTCCCCTCAGAAAATCCAGAGCCCCGAGCTAGCAGGATCTTTCCAGGCACACGTGTGAAGGGTGGTGGGGCCCTCACACCCACCTCACCTTCCTTGGTGCCTCCTACACACTGCTTTGGGCCCTCACTGCCCAGGGTGCTCTCATCCTGGGGAGAAGGGAGGCAGCCAGCAGGAGGGGTGGAGAGATCATTCTATTGAACTGGAGGCTCTGGGCACTGTTGAAGCCAAAGGAAGACCAGCCAAGCCCCAGCTCCTCATCTGAGTGCAGCGGGCCTGTGTGACAGGCACAGTGGGCCCTCCCGGTTCACATATCCCCACCATCCATCACCACCCAGACCCACGCAGGGGTCTGAGCCCCGGGGCCTCTCTCTCCGTGGCCACCTCTGTCCTGGATCTCCAGCTGTTCCCTCCCTTTACTGTGAGGCCCTGCCTCGGCTCAGATGTCACCTCCTCACAACAGCCTTCCCTGAGCGGCCGTCAGGATGAAGGGACCCTCCCACAGCAGACTGGCTCACCCTAGACCAGTGATGGCGAACCTATGACACGCGAACTCATTTTTTTGGTTGATTTTTCTTTGTTAAATGGCATTTAAATATATAAAATAAATATCAAAAATATAAGTCTTTGTTTGACTATGGTTGCAAATATCAAAAAATTTCTATATGTGACACAGCACCAGAGTTAAGTTAGGGTTTTTCAAAATGCTGACACGCCGAGCTCAAAAGGTTCGCCATCACTGCCCTAGACCCCAGCCAACATCGTTTTCGTTTTGTTGTTGTTCATCCTCACCCGAGGATATTTGTTCCATTGATTATTTTAGAGAGATTGGAAGGGAGGGGGAGAGACAGAGAGAGAAACATGGATGTGAGATTGGTTGCCTCGTGCATGTGCCCCGATCGGGGGCTGGGATTGAGCCTGCAACCAAGGTACGTGCCCTTGACCTGAATCAAACTGAGGCCCTTCAGTCCGAGGGCCGGTGCTCTATCCACTGAGCCAAACCAGATAGGGCCCCAGCTACCACTTAGATGTCATCCTTTACTTGCCCCTAAAGTGCCATCGCCTCAAGGACAGACAGACAGACAGTGCACCCTCATTAAGCCAGGACCTGTCATGCAGCCAAGCCTCCAAGGAAACATGAATGAATGAATGAATGAATGAACGAATGAATGAATGGTGAGAAACTGAACAAACAAACAAGAAATTCCAGACACCCTGGGAGGGGCCCTCTGGGATGGGGGTTTTCCCAGGCAAAGCTAAACTCATTTCCAGGAGGAAGAGGTGTGACACAGCTATCACCCATTCTGAATGGTGGGCACGTGGCGCAGCCCTGTGCCCCAGGAGGACGTCTTGACATCCCCACAACTCCACGGAGGGGACCCCCAAGTCCAGGTGATCGGGTCAGCCCATTAACAACCATTTATTAAGCTCGACTCCGTGCCAGGCCACTTCCTTGGTGCAGTTATGGTGAGCGAGTGGACTGGGGGAGAGGGATGGGTTAGAGTCCGGCCCAGACTCAGACACCCAAACTGGGGAGAAGGCAGGAGGGCAGCAAACAGCCAGGGATGAGGGCAGCACTCCTGCCTTAGCCACAGACCCAGGCAGGCCCCGGGCTCCAGGTAACACAGGCGCATGGGTCAGAGGGCAGCCCTTCCCCATGCAGCAGCCAATCACACGTCACCCAGAGCCCCTCCACTCTCACTTCCCATCCCCACCCACTGACGAGCCCTTCCCCACCCACTCAGCCAGGTTAAACCAGGACAAGCCAGAGGGCACCTCCTTCCAAGGGCTGCCTCCACAGGCTCACACCCAAAAGCTGCCCCCACCCTGAGGTCAGGGCCACTCTCATGCCCACTCTGACTTGGCTTCCACAGCCATTTTTCTTCCTCCCTGAAACCCTTCCAGCCCTTCTCCATCCAGGCTCGGCCGCTCCTTTCTGACAACTAGGCTGTGGCCCCATGTCCTCCCTTCTGGTCACCTTGTCAGGGCCACACGAGGGAATTGGGATGGAACGCTTAAGCTCTATCTCCAAACATGGCCAGAGAAGAAAGGAAGAAGTGCCCTTTACATCATTTTTTTAAACAAAGACACTTCTTTGGGTGCAGATAACATAACACAGTGATGTTAATTCTAAACAATGCTTTTAATTTTTAGTCCAGTGGTCATCAATCCAGTAGTCATAATAGTTGCTTTCTTGTTATTTTTGCTAACAGTTGTGTGTGTTTGAGGAGGGCGGGGGGGAGGGAGGCCACAAGATTGCTTAGGCCCAGAGTTTGCGCTGTTTTAACATCCCAAAGCTTGAGACATAGATGTACAAGGCAGTTCCTCTGGCATGGCAGCTCCGGTTCCATTTGAAAGTGGCTCCACTTATTGGGGTTTTTTTTATAACTCCAAAGCCTACCTTACTACACCCCCCCACCAACCCCTATAGCAGGCTAGCAAAACAGTAAGGACAGCAAGGAGACGTGACATGCATAGAGCTGATATGAACAAAACACCACAGCAAGAGAGGGCAGGGGAACTGTTCCCAGGCCCAAGAGGAGAACTCCTTCCTCGATAGTCAGAAATGAAAAGGGAAACGGGAGAGCATACAGGGAGCGAGGAGGAGCTAGAGGTTCTTTATTATGTGATGATGAGAACTGCCTTTTTCTTGCCCAGGGAGATGTTGACTAATATCGATTCAAACACAACCATATCTTCACCTCAGATGACGCATTTGGTGGACGCCTGTGCACAAGCTAAACTAAAACATATCACAGGGATTCCTGACAAATTTGCACCAGCCCTCATGAAAACGAGTCATCTTTCCTCTTTCTCTTTCTTATGTTGTCATGACAAGAAGTCTAGATCATTAAGTGACTAAGGTGTTAGCTGACGCTACTGTAGCCATCATGTTGCAGTATAGAAATGTATTGAACCAATTGGTGGTACACCTCAAACTTAAACAATGTTGTATGTCAATTATATTCCTATTTTAAACAAGAAAAGAAACCTAGGATATACCCATGACCTAGAGATTGCAGTGATGGTCAAAGTAGAGCAAGAGCCGGCTGGTGTGGCTCAGTGGTTAAGCGTCGACCTATGAACCAGGAGGTCACAGTTTGAATCCCAGTCACGGCACATGCCTGGGTTGCAGGCTTGATTCCCAGTAGGGGGTGTGCAAGAGGCAGCCGATCAATGATTCTCTCTCATCATTGATGTTTCTATCTCTCTCTCCCTCTCCCTTCCTCTCTGAAATCAATAGAATGTATTTTTTTAAGAACACAATAGTTAAAATATATATATAAATCTCTCCCTGTGAATGCTGAGAGCCACTGAAAGCGACAGTCCAGAGTGGGGCTCATGAGAGAGACGGGCTGGAGGCAGGCTGGACTTTCAAGGGCATCACAGACCCACATTCTAGTCTGGAACCCCACAGCAGCTGGTTCTGTCTTCAGCCTCTCCTGGCCCTCTCCCGCCCCTTCCATCCCCCCCCTCATTGACCATTGGGAGTTTCTGCTAATCAAACACCCACTGGATTGTGAGGTTATGCCAGGGTGGGGAGCAAATCCCTTTCATCTTTGCATGCACATACCCCCCACCCCCCATGCACAGAAGTGGCTGCATAAATGCATGTTTGACTCCTGTTTCTGAGTGTCAACCCGCCTCCCTCACAGCTGTGCTGGGGTTGGATTCATCCAAGGGAACAGAAAAGAAGGGCAGAGCCAGCCAGCCCTGCGGCCTTTACCTCACAAGGTTGGCACAGGGCCCGGGCCACCGGCAGCTCTGGTACACGCGCTGGACCACTGTCTCCGAGCCGTTCTGCACCTGGCAGGACACCGTCCGTGTTACCGTGTGATGGCACCAGTGCCTGTGGGGAGAACAACAGTCACGTCAGTACTGACTGTTCCTGAGGTGCCAGCTTCTGGTCAAAAGTCCCCTCCACAAGCCTGGGGGCTCGTCCTCTTGGGTACAGGGCACACTGAGACGGAGACCCTCTGTTCAGGTCTAAGAGGAAGGAAGAATACCACCCCTTTGGGCTACCAAACCCTGGCATCATCAGAGTCACCAAACACTCCATGTGGAATCAGTGAAGAAAGCTGTACCCCTGCCTGCCCGCCCGGGAAACAGACGAGGAGATGATGACAACCTACAGGAACACGGGTCATAGGTACAGCCACATCATGAGGAAGGGAGCTCTGGGAACAAAGCAGGGCACCCAGCCCAAGTTTAAGAAACCTGAGTTCTGGAAGATACAAGTCAGCTGACCAGACACGTGGGGACGATGAGCGAGAGTGGCATTATTAGCAGTGTGAGCAGAGGCACCGGGTGATAGACCATGAGATGCAGCTGTCTCACAAGGACCTGGTGCAATTAGACATGCCCAGAGGCTGTAGGGAGGGGAGGAGTCGAGAGAAAGAAAGGCATGGCACCTACCAGAACAGACGTGGGTCTGAGCATGAGGTCAGCGGGAAGCCACTGAAGGACTCTGCGCAGGGAAATGACCCCCGGGGGTCTGAGGTTCTTGTCAGAGGGCCACAGCGGAAGGAGCCAGACAGACAGGACCCAGATCCCCATCCCTGCCGGTATCAAGAATCAGGTATGGGACTCACCTGTTTGAGACAGGTGTGGTCAGAATGCCTAAAAAGCTGATGACCTCCTGGAGAAACTGGGACCCTCGCAAGATCAATGAATTCTTGCACACTCTCCATCCTTCACTTATGCCACCAACCCTCCACAAGGCAACGTAGCAGGAAACAAAGAAACAGAGACAACTAATGGAAAACCCCAAATACCAGGAATTTCAAATTATTTGAGAAAAAAAGCTAACACCATGAAAAAAAGGCACCAACTCAACATAGAATAAATCACACCTGGGGCGGGGGGGGACAATTAATAAAGCAAATAAATGGAAACAATTTTTAAAGCATAATGTCCTCAAAGAGACAAGAGAATTTTTCACTCATAAAAAATATTATGAAATAAAGAAATAGGCATCTTGGAAATGAAATGTATGGCTATGAAAATAAAAGGCTCAACAATTTGTCTGAGAAACAGAATGGATACAGGTAAAGAGTAAGCTGATGAGCTGGAAATTTAAGCCATGAACTTTCTGAGGATGCACTGCAAAGGGAAAAAAAGATAGAAAATGGGGGGGGGGCAGAGGTGAGGGACATAGAAGGCAGCTCTAGAAGGGAGGTCAGAGGGAACAAAGGGAAATATATAGCTGAAGAAATAATACAGAAAATTTCTGAGAATAAATAGAGACTTGTGGTCTTAATGTGAAAGGACCCACTGAATGCTAAGCAAGATGAACAAAAACAGATTGTGGGGGGATTTCAGAACACTCCGGACGAAGAGAAACTACTAAATGCTATAAAAAAAAAAAAAAACAGATTACCTATAATCAATTGAAATTAGATTTCTTATCAGCAACATTGGGATCAAAAATATAGCGACACAAGTACTTCAAAGCTCCTAGAGGAAATACAGTGTGGCCTTGACTTACGAGTTTAATTCGTTCTGTGACGGAGCTCGTAACTCAAATTACTCGTATGTCAAATCAACAGTGAACAAGTGAGACACGTGATGCTGGGCTGATGTTGTGGCGTTCACTGTGACGTTCGCTGCGCCAACTAGCGGTGGGGTATCTGAAGCTGGCTCGTAACCCGAATTTTAGCTCGCAACTCAAAGCAAAAAGTCGGCCGAGAGATGGCTCGTATCTCGAAAACCTCGTTAGTTGGGACACTCGTAAGTCAAGGCCCCACTATACTTAAAACCAGAATTCTATACCCAGGCAAACTCTCCTGCAAAGGAAACGGTGAGATAAAGACATTGTTAGGTGCATAAGAAACCAGAAAGTTACCAGTCACCTTTTCTGAAAGAATTATTAAAGGATGTATTGCAGCAAAATAAAATAAAGGACATAAGATGAACATATGAAATGTGAGAAGCAATTATGAACAAAGAAATCATAATAAGACTTAATAACAGCCTAGATCTAAAATCCAAGATGATTGCAATATGGAAGATGGCAGAGAGGAGGCAGAAGGAAGCAAAAGTTGCTGAGATTTTTGTCTTGTGTAAAGGAAAGGATATAGAAGCTGTGCAACTTTCAGTGTAGTAGAAAAGTATACAATTAAACATATTCTTGAATTTGAAGATAAATACTAGCAAGGCAAGAAAGAGGACACAAAACTGACCAACCACACAAAAAAGTAAAACAGAAAATTCTATTAGCCCAACAAAATGCTAAGAAAGTAGCTACAGAAAATACAGCAATTAGAAGGCAGTGTAAGTAGAAAGGAAAAGAAAGGTACTAAGAAAGATGCAAACAGAAATTAATGAAATAGATTACTTTAAAAAGTGAATCAACAAAACCAAAAACAGGTATTAAAAAAATTCAAATAGGCAATTCTTAATGATAAACAAAGGGCATAGACATTAAAAACAAACAAAAAAAACTCCAAAAAGTGATTAGAAATTATAAGTAAACTAGAAGCCCGATGCATGAAATTCATGAAAGAGTAGGCCTTCCTTCCCCCGGCTGCTGGCACCTGGACCAGGTATTCCCTCGCAGAGGGAGGCCCCACCCACCGCAGCCCACTGGTCAGTGGCTTGGGCCTCCCTCTTTGGGGCAATCTTGGAGCCCCCCGATTGATTGCCCTGCCGGCCAGTGGCCTGGGCCTCCCTCTGCGGGGCAATCATGGGTCGATGGCCGGCCCCCAACCAATCACATTGCACCCGCCTTGGCTGGCCTGGCACCAGTGGGTGTCATAGCATGGTCCCGGATGGTCATCCCGCTGTTCAGCCATTCGGTTGAATTGCATATTACGCTTTTATTATATAGGATATTATGTATGATCTTACAGCAAAACTTGACAATTTTCTATGAAAATATATACTACCAATATTGGCACAGTCAAAAATACCAGAGAAGAAAATGAGAAAGTAGGCAAAAGTCGACCCCTCTCCCCAAAGGCACCAGGAGACTTCATTCAAAACCTGGTTCCACCACCAACCTTCTGTGTGACTTGAGCAAAGTTGATAAGCCCTCGCTGAGCCTCAGTTCAATGAAAAATGCTACCTTTCAAGGTGTTGTGAGTTCTCGACAAGCACATCCAGGGTAGTGGTGTGTAAACCGTGCCTCACTACAAACCGAAAGGTATTGATTAGCTGGCTCCTGAAACCCACCATGTTTATAAGAGCCTAAGGCTTGTCTTTCCTATTTTGCAGCTGGGAAAAGAAATACTGGGGGGTCAAACCTCATTGCCCACAGCTGAAACCAGAGCCTGAGCTGGGAAGGGGACCCAGCCTACCTGCCCAGGGGACCAGCACCTACAAACCTAGACTCCTGCCTCTGCCTGTTACCCAGGGAAACTGGGTCTGGAACAGGTATGAGACATCACAGGCCAGAGCCCTTCCTTCATTTCTCCCAGGGAACATCAGCCCCGTCTCCGTGTGAGTCTCTTCAGGATGAACCATGGTCCAATCCAAGGACAGCACTCCACCCCCAAGACCTGCCCCCAACGGTCTGGAACAGACTGTCCAGCCATCTCTGAATCACACTGGGTCAGGGCTTTGTATAGAGAAATGAGCTGTGAATTCTAAAACATTTTCAAATGCCACGATTCATCATCTCCAGACATTTGATCTTTTAATGGGCTGTAAATGGCTTCCCAACTCAAAACCTGGCCAAAAACAACCAAGAAGGCAGGCAGAGACAAGGAAAGAAGGCTCTGGGGCTTTCGGATGGAATTCAAAACCCTGTTCATCTGCAGACACCTGAGGCTCTGGGAAATCTGGCTGCCACTTAGGACCCCCGAAGCCTGAGCATTGTGTGTATGTCTTCCGTTTGGGGGGTGACAACATGCCACCATCCATGCCCACCCCACACCCGTCAGTGGTAGGTGACAGGGTTGTACGGGCTACAGTTCACTCCACCCAGTGGCCAGCTTGACAGGAGATGTCCATCCCTTTTATGACCCTCCTGGAAGGATGGTCCAGGAGCACAGAATTTGAGAGTGACAGAGCTGGTCCTTGGCTGCCTAGGCCGTGAGGGTGCCCTCCTCAGCAGCCTCATCTTTGGGCATCATTTCAGCAACATCTCTTTGTCATCTCCCCTCACCTTCTCCAGCTGAGCTCTCATGGAGGGTCCAGGAGGGGAAACCCACTCCCAGCCTTGGAGACAGATCTGCTCCCTGCCAGGTCCCTCCCTTATGAGAGGAGGCCCACTCCCAGATGGGAGGAGCGATTGACTTGGCCCTGCTCTCCAGGCTCACGGCTCCCACAGCAGCTTTCACTAAGTGTTTGGCTCCGTGGCTTGGCTGAGCCGTGAAATCCTTAATTTAGGGTCCTCTGAGAAAACAAGTGCTAAGTGGCTTCAGGAAATTATGTCACAATGGAACGGAGGGGCTTTCAGGAGGACATCCCTGGCCCATGCTCACCTCTGAACATAACCACCCAACCTGTTTCCGATGCTGCCTGCCACCCAGGGAGACGGCCCCCCCTCCCCAGAGGCCTGGCTCCCCACACAGGCCCTGAGCCCCTGTTTTCCTATCTGAGCTTTGCTTTGGGGCCTAATCTTACGCTTCCCTTCCAGGACCCTGTGCTCGGAGCCTAAACCAGCCCCCAGGGTTTGACAGTGCCCGCCCTCTCCATGAGGACCACCCAATCTGCCCCATTCCCTGTCCCACCCCAGGGAGTCACCTCAATGCTTCCTCTCATATGCGCTCCACTTGCTGGACAGGGGTCACACTTCATCATAACCCATGGGACACCTCAAGTTACACCATTTCACTCTGGTCAGTACTGAGCCCATCACTATCCAACCCTACTTCGCTCCACCTTGGTGACCAGCACCATTAAGCC